GTGAGGACAGAAGAAGAAACTATCTTATCAGCAACTATGTACAGTCGGCCCTCTGTTTTCGAGGGGGATCCGCTCCAGACACACACACAAACACAAAAATGGAGATTTGCAAATATTCAAGCCCCATAGGCTTGAATGGGGTGCGGCCCATTGATTTTAATGGAGGTCGCCCCTCCATGAATATGCAAAACTGCAGACTTCAAGTACGCGAGAATGGAGGGGTGACTGTATACAATATCAGCCAAAAGAAGGAACCACAGAGGAAGCAATCCTATACACAACTGATGGGGGTTAAGTCTCATTTGATTTATCTGTCCTGAATCTCCCACCTTTTAGCCTCAACAAATGGCCCCCACTGGGTTCTAATATTATGTTTTCTCTGTCTACTTTTTCCACACTAGGCATGTAGTTATATCTATGTGCCCTAGTCCACACACTGCTATAGAGGACATGAGAGTCTGGAGAAGAAGAGCATGATTCCAAGTCAAAAAATTATAGCCCATCTTCTAATCTCTTGATGCCCTCTGAGTGACACCAACTAAGGGGCTATACAGACCGGCCACAAGGGCCAGCCTGGGGTGGAGTGGGGCTTGGCAACCGCACGCCTATCACCCTGACCCCACATCATCCTCACGCCGCTCACCCAAACAGACAGCGAGTGGCATAAAACACAGTGTGCCAAAGGAGCGCTGAAAAGCCACCGCCGCAAAGGCAAGAGCGACTTTTTTGCCACTCTAAAAAGGAGCAGCATTTGTCAGCTCTTTTTAGAGTGGCAAAGTGACGGATCAGGGCCGCGGCATGTGGTTGCCAGGGCCCCAATCCTGCACTCCCAGGGGTATCATGGAGCCGCCCCTTTCGGGCCATCTGTTTAGCCCTTATTTCATGTGCAATCTACCTTTCTTGCAGCCTACTATATCATTTACAACAAACGAAAGGGTGTGTATGCTGGTCGAAATCATAGCAACTCAAATTTTTCAATTATATGTTTAACTCAGCACAGACTAATTTGGACTTTTAAAGTTTTTTCATTTAGTAAAAGTAAGTGTACTGCAAACTGTGAAGGGAAGTGAAAAACACTGATTTAATAAAAGGAGAAACATTTATTGCTGTTCATTCTCAGGCTGGCTACAGCTATAAATGTGCAGACAAACATCTGGCTTTACCACCTCGTACTAGAAAAAAAGATAGTAAATTTATCCATTTTCCAACCACCTTTATCCATTTTCCTTATAAATCCTTTTCCATTTTCTGATCACTCTCTCACTATAATTTTAGCTGATGATCTCAATGGAAAAACCTTCATACCACAACTGATATAAGGACAACTGCTTTAAGACAACAGCTGTTGTGGGGTGTGAAAATGTCTCATTTTCATGGTGCATGAATAAAATAAGTAAGTTGTACTGGGTGGATGATTATTTAAAAGTTGTGTTTGATTCTTTCCGGTAAGTAATGCCTCCAGAATTGCAAGGATGTTTCTATATAAAGAGAAACTTGTTGTTTATACATACTTAAGTACTAGTTCATTCTCCTGTGTTTTGATTGCTGTGTTAGTAGTTTCTGTTACATGGCAACCAGCTTCTTCCTTTCAAGTTACAGAAGGAGAGCTGCCTAAACTTCACCAAGAGCTTCTTGTTCCAGCTTGTGGGAGGTTTGGGTTGGGGGGGCATTCCAGAGCCTGAAGAGGGCCTTTGAGCATTGCTACTGAAAATTATGCCACTAGCAGGTCTAGCAAGGTAGCAACAAAGAAAGTACAAGGAACATCTTGCATTGCTTTAAGTGCTACATTCTATTGACTTTACCTACAGCAGAAGTCAGGATGGAGCACCAAGACTGTATGGCAAAATATACCATTCACTAGCAAGACCCCTTCAGTGAAGGAGTCTGGCAGAAAATGCATAGAACCATAGAGGTAGTTCAGCACCAGTCAGGCTTCTCTAAAGCTCTGCCATGCTTATGGGCTAGAATTGAAAACATGGTGCTGCTTGAGAGCTTCAGCATGGCTCTCTCTCACTAT